ATGGACTGAGTTGCGATTTAAGGATTTAGGTTATGAGTTGTTGCTGCTGCGTAGTTTATATATCCAAAACATTTGTGTTGCGAAAATAAAAGTTGTTTTGCGAAATTAAAATTCGTGTTGTGAATTCGGAAATCGAGTTGTGAAAATAAAATTCGCGTTGCAAAATTGAAACGCGCTTTGCGAATTAGAAAATCTTGTTGCGAAAATGAAACTTGTGTTGCGAATTTAAAAATCGTGTTGCGAAAAAGAAATTCGTATTGCGAAAAAAGAATTCGTGTTGCGAAATTGTCAAAATCGAGTTGCGAATTTGGAAACTGTGTTGTGAATTCGTTGGTTATTTTTGTAAATCCAAAAAATATTAATTAAAATCGTATATTATAAGGCATTTTCGGTCACTCAAATTATTTTCTCAATAATTAAAGATAAATCTACAACTTTTAAAAAGAATTCTGCTCCTACTTCACAGAAGGATTAGGTTCATGCAGTATAGAATGCGTTGAGATTTTTATCCGATTACTTCTATAATAATCTTTGAAAAAAAGAGATCAAAGTTGATATTGCATAACATGATAAATGAAGCAAAAGCAGAAGGAAACTTAAATTGCATAAAACATAGGGTTCTCATAAGAAATGAAAAAGAAAGAACAAAATATATGCTCTGGGTCGAATATACGTCGAGGTGGAGAAAGCAAAGCACAATGGGTGGCCGGGACACGCAAAAGCTACTTAGGTTGCCGTACAACTTCGGGTGCTTAAGCTTTAAGGCTTCTTGCAAAGAAGTGCCGACCCTTGTGTTCTTCTATCGTTAACGATTCACTCTTTTTAATTCGAATAAAGAATTGCAATCGATGAAGCTTCAATCGTAAGTTGATGATCGATTCTAATTAAGAAAGCAAAAATAAATTCATTAACAACAAATATTCTATGCCCTCCTTTCCCTAGAGCTCAAATCTAAATTAACCTCCCAAGATTTACACAGTTCTTTGAAACGAGAATCTATTACAAACAACATCTGATATACAACCATTACTGGAAAATAGCAACTTACAAGACAGGAGAATGCAAATCAGCCAAGATGTCGGTCTCCTCATCGGGCGGGAGTTTTGATGAACTGTTTGTTGCAGCACCGGAATACGGAACTCGACGGGCCTTCGGTGATCGGAATTGCTGTAAGAGGTGAATCTCCACTCGTGTCTTGGATTAGAACCATCAGATGGCTTTTGTCACTACAAAAGTGGTAAGATGTTAGGACCATATTTGTTTTCCATCATAGCGTTATTTACATCAGGGTACAAGACGGCCAACAACGATGTTCTCAAATAAAAAAAAACACTTCCCACGTGTAAATTCAAAGGCCAAATTGTTATAATTGTTGACGAGTGTAAGTTCGAAGCTAAAGGAAACAATAAGAGTAGGCCAACCATAAATGTGCACCTTCTGAAAGATGAATAAATGGAAAGATTCGTGACTGTATTTATGCATTGGTATGCCATAATTAAAAGAGAGAGAAAGAGACTCTTGCGAGAACGAATCTTGATGAGGAAGCTGCCAGAATTATTTACCAGAAAATCAGATAAAATTCATGCCATAGTTTGCACGTGCATGAACTTGATTTAAGAGTATAAAGGCAAACAAAAAGTGGAACCCATTGGAACAAAACTGAGATGAATGTAAGAGTAATGAAAAACATGTATTCCACCTGGGCATTAGGGCTAGGCTGAAAATCTTTCTTAGCAGATGCATCTCCACCTTTAGCCGAGCCTTTGGTATCACCCTATCAAACAAAAGAGTTTGCACTCTAGCACGGTCTCTTTAGCATCTTTAGCGATCTTCCAGTTGGCAGGGAGTGCCTTCTTCATGATACGCCTAATGTTAGCAATAGGAAGATACCTATCTTGTTCACGCACGTTGGACCTCGGGCTTTGCTCACCTCCGCTCTCGTGGCTTCCGCCACCGGGACTCGCTGGTGCTTCAGCTATGGAGAAAACCCTATCTTCGACAGATCACCGAACGTCAAAACAAAATAATTAAATGTCAGAACATGACATTTGTTACCTCAGGTCTCTGTTTTTAGATTTGGTCGTATCACATTCGTCCATTCTATAGTGTTAACTCTGTACAACCAACGACATCATTTATAACTACTAACTAGTACTAGGTGTGTTCAAAAGGCACCCACCGTAGAACTCGGGTCAAGGGTAGACGGTTTATAATTTTTTTATTTTTTTAAATTATATAATTTTAAAATTTAAAATTTAAAGTTCTATAATATATAATTCATACATAAAATTCAAAAATTCAAATTACATAATTGGAAAACAAATAATAAAATAATAAATATAATTAAATTTCAAGTGTTTCAAAGATAAAATAAATAATTTAAAAATAATTTAAAATGTTAATATGAAATAATTTGAGAAATTAAAAATTTAGAATGTTATGGTAGCAAAATTTAAGAAATTAAGTATTTAGAATGTTAGAGTGAAATAATTTGTAAATTATAAATAAACATTTAATAAAAAATAAAAAATAATATATATATATAATAATAATAATAATAAACCGGGTACCGGGTCGGCGGGCATCTGGTTAAGTAATATTTTGTGACCGGGCCAGACCCGAGAACCTAGAAAATTTAACGGGCCAGGTACCCGACCCGGAAAATCAGGTATTTTCAAAATAAATAACCCGTATTTTTTAACCGGGTTGACTGGTAGCCGGATCAGGTCAATCGGGTTAGGTATTTTTAAACACAGTTAGGTACATTATAATTTAATGGATAAATTGATCTAAGATAATTAATTTTTTACTTTGATTCCAATCAAGTTACTGACCAATAACCTTTACTTTTAACGAAATTAGATATAGTAATTGAATAAATTTATATAATAACATATTTAATTCTTAGCATTTATAAATTTTGTTCATTTAATCTTAATTTTATTTTATAATTAAACTATATAGATTAAATTAAATTTATATAATATTTTTATATTTTGAAACTTAAATTTAATATTATTTTCACTTTCAGTTTTGGACTGCCTTTTGATACTTCCAACTCAGTCGAGTAGCACTTCTTTGCCATGTCCGACGACCTCACAAACTCGTAGTCAGTAACAAATCCATGTTTTAGTGAGAATAGAAAAAAAATTAAATTTTTTCGATTAATTATCTATTTTATTGATTATATCGATCTTAAAATTTTATTTGTATTTATCCGTATAAATACTTTATGTTATTAATATAAATTTATGTCCACCCTAAAAGAATGTTTCTATATCGTCACTGTTCATAGTCTCCCTTCAATGATCAACCTTGATGATTGAAAAATGAAAAAAAAGAGAGAGAAAATTACAAGAAGAAATGATTTGTGATAAGTGGTTACAACAGCATCTGACATTTAGGAATATAAAGCAAGGTATACAAACCACAATACGAAATAGAATACATGAAATTGTCCAGTTCAACATGGAAACAAGAGCTTCACTTCGATTTAAGTCGTAATCAAATGAGGACGGAGATAAAATTTTATATTAGGGACGACGAATTCAACTTGAATCTACTTCCAGGTGAGCAGAGGAGGAGTTTTGGAAGGGGTAACAATGTTACCTTGAGAATCATATATTATGACCCCTGAAAAATCAGGCAACTCACACTTCTCTCCCATCAGAATGTTTTTCTGCCATACCGGTTGTTCACAGCTGAACATGCTCCTGTCCGCCACTACATCCGTAGCTCCAAGGCCACTGATTTCAGCTTCGTGTTGTATTTCGATTACAGGGTCGAAATCATCCTCGTCGAAAAATTCATAGCAAGCTCTCCACTGACGCCGCAGTTTACGCGCATGCGAAGCACACTTGATTAAAGCGAAACCGCATAGAAGAAGCGTAACAACAGCCAGGCCGGCTTGAGAGGCGTTAACCGGTGCCGAATTTGCCGGTGTTGAGTGAAGTTGGCGAGCCATGAGAGACCTGAGAGACTGGAACTGAGATTGATTTCAGGGGAATTGTTGAACAACCTTTTACATATACACATGGATAAATACATGCACCCATATATATATATATATTGGGTGTTCTGTGTGACTAAATTTATTGGGGTCGTTGGAGTTGAAGGATTTGTTAGGGTTTGACGTTAAATTACAACGTTTATGGTTTAGGTCGACATTCTTGACCTCCTTCGGTTCATAGGTTTCTGCATGCTAAATCAAGAAGAGAAGTAAGATTTTATATCGAGATACGAACTTAAAAATTTAGAAGTGTAAAATTAGATAATTAATAAAAATATAAAAAAAATCTAAAATATATGAAAATTTGAAACTTTCAAGAATACGATCGTAGCCAACACCAGTCTATCCGTGTGTTAAACTCTTTAAGTTTAGATTTGCTTTAAGCTGAACTGATTTGCTTTTTGTTAGTTGAACCTGTCCCAATTAGTGAAATGGAGGACTACAAGAACCCTGCAAAGTTGCTCATCAGTACAAAACTCGTACCTTATGGATCAAGTATTACTATAAAGTATACCTTAACTAATGCAATTTTGTTCTCATATAAAAATATTAGCTTTAAAGGTCAAAATGATATGGTCTGGAAATAAAAATCAATAATTACATATTCGTGTCAATTTATACTCAATTGAGCTGTAGTAAATTGTTAAGGGATAAACTATACTCATGGTAATTGAACTTCTATGCCGTTTGCACTTTGGTCATCCACATCGAAATAATTTTATTGAAGTTACTAAATTTAAGAATGTTTTAATTTCAGTCACTATTGTTAGCGAAAGTTGATGCGTGAATAATGATTATTTTAATAGTATAATAAATATCTTTTTTTAAAAAACCACCCATGAAATCATTCATATGGTTGAACCAATGAAATCATGCATATGTCGAATAGATCTAAAACCTATTGATCCACCAACAAGAAGAACAAAGCAACCAAGAAAACCATGTTGAACTTGGCATTTCAATATCACAAAGAGCAACCAAACTTGTAAACTAAATAAATTAATGTTCCCATATTATAGATACTATTCCATTAGCCATAGAATGCGTAAACAGGGAGGGAGGGCAATACAGAGTATAGGAGCATGATATTCCACCAATTTCCCTTCCACCAACACATACTCAAAACAGCAAAATGACATAACATTAAAACAAAAGTTTAAAACAAACATTTCAAGTTCTCTCATATAGTCATATTACTCGAGCAAAAAAACTAAAATTACTGAGACACACCCAGCCACTTAGAGAAGTTCTCAAACTCGGTGTAATCGCTGTCTGAGATCATTGTCTGATACCATGCTTTGCCTGCTGCCTTAATTGCTGTTGCCTCCTCCTGAATAGTCAAGAAAAACAAATATGGATTCAACAAACTAATGTAGCATTAGAAAAAAGATCCCTTCATAGAATTACAACATACATGTTAGAATCATTAGTATGAATACAACTGATAAAAGTAGGGTAAAAGTGAACCCCAAAGAATCATCCGTGCCCAAATTAATGCCCAGCAGAAGGTGGAATCATTAATGCAGAAAACCCATCCACAACAGAACTCATCTTTATAAACGGCTCAAAACAAATAGTCGAAACTCACACCGTACGATGAACATGAAGAACTCACATCTCAAGAACACGTATAATGTTAAGAGTTAACTAAAAAAGCGTCATCTGCCAAATGTAAGACAAATATAAGCAACTATATGCAGTAAGAAATTATAAGCAAAACAACATATGATGCAAAACCTGCAATTAATCAAACAACTATAAGCAGTAATAAGCAAAAATATATAATTTACGAAGCACAAGATACAAATGCATTAAGCATCAAGTGAAGTTCCATTGAAATATACTATCAAACACAGTTCTAAGCCACAGAATTGCAATTATAATCAGTTAGGAAACACAAACAATCAAATCGACTTTATTTACCTTAGTGATGGGTTTCCTCTTCTTGTCAAGCTTCTCCTTTTTAGCCTTAACACGTTGTGCCTCAGCTAAAAGAGACATCCTCTTTGCAGTCTTGGCATACGGGTTCAACTTCAGCATAGCATTCAAGTTCTTAAGTGGGTTCTTCTTCATAGGTGCCCTCTTGATATCCTTCTTAATTGGCTTCACAACTGACTGAACCTCATCAGAGTTGATGATCCTACCCAGATCAGCATTGACCATCTTAGATCGAGGTAGCACGTACCCTTTCTTCTTCTCGGAAGGCTTATCGAAAGTACCATAAATCGAGTCGAGCTTCTCATAAGCCGATTTGGTCCAAATGACGAACCTACCAAGGTGCCCACCAGGTGCCAGTTTCAACAGATTAAGCCTCTCAACGTTAGCAACTTCGACTCCGGGAATGTTACGGAAGGCTTTGACGAGCTTAGCTCCCTCAGTTCCGTACACAATCAATGGACCTTTACGGGAAATGTACCTCCGGTTCCTCATTTTTCCTTTTCCGGGTCGGATCCCCTGGCTGTCCTTAGCTTTTTCAACATCGGGATATGCTCCGACCTGTTTCAAAACCTTAATTGCACCCGAGGTTTTCTCCACGCTCTCCACAGCATCAGAAATGACAAGCGGCATCTCCGGGACAGCCTCGATGCGGTGGCCACGTGCCATGACGAGGGAGGGAACAGCGGTGGCGGCGATAGCGGAGGCAACGGCATAACGCTTCTGGTTAACATTGATTTTCCGGTGCCAACGGCGCCAGATCTTGGTGGGAGCAAACATGCGTCCACCGCGACACATGTTTCCGAAAGCACCTTGCCCTGCACGGTGAGTACCACCGCCAGGAACACGGGGAATCCGCGAGACAGCACGACCAGTACCCCAGGATTCAGCTGAAGTCTGGTGACCGGCGCGTTTGGAGACGGCATAGGGTTGGCGGCTGTTTTTGGAGATGTTGTCGTGGACGAAGGTGACGATGTCGGGTCGGATAGAGGCTTTCATGACATCAGCAAGAGGAACAGTTGGGGTGGCATCAGTAGCCATGTCGGACTCTATGGTCTGGACGGAAACAAGGGGGCGCGCGGCGGCGGTGGCCATTGCTTAGGGTGTGGGTTGCGAGGGAGAGCGAAGCAGATAAATAAAAAAAAGAGCGCTAGGTTTTTGAGATGTATGAATTATTTATATAATGAATTATTAGGAAATGGGCCAATGAACAGAAAACAAAATAGGGTTAGACTCGGAACTTAGCTTACTTTATGGGCCATCATTTGCAGCTATGGACACCTCGTCCAAATTAATTGTAATGGGTAGTTCTGATGTTCGGTAATTTAATTTAAGGTTAACGAAATGTAGTAAATGGGTATGACCGAAAATGTTATAAAAATTATAATATTTTAAATTGGACACAATCTAAAATATTAAACTTTTAACATTTTCAACCGAAAATATTACGAAGAAGGTTTTCAATAGAAGAATGTTACGAAAAAGTTAACATTTTATGTTGCGCCCAACCTAAAATGTTATGATTTTATAATATTTTCGGTCACTCATTTCTTTAATCTTAAATTAGGTTCTATTCCTTAGACCATCCCAATTGATAATAACTCAAAAAAATTAAAAATGATTCTCAATTATTTCAAACTTTTTAAGTAAATTCTTATATTTTATTGTAATTAAGATAAACACTTATTTAAAGTGAAAGATTGCTTATATAATACCATACTTTATAGGGACTGAAATTTTTTCTAGGAGCATTAAATTTAACTTTATTTCATATTTAAGTATCAATTTAAGACAATGTGAAGAATCATATGATATATTAATCAATGACCAGTAATTTCATTTTTCAAGGAAAGAAATTAGCAAGTTGTCATATTATAAAGTCAACAATCTATAGAGTAAATAGTTAAAAGCTCTTAGTTGACATATTTTTTCTCTCCTAGATTGAGGGTTCAATATTAATTATGAGCAAAATTCTCCTACCCTAGATAAAAATTGTTCAAAAAAGATATCATAATATATAAGGAAAAAATGACCATTAGAGAGCGTTTGGTTTGCGGAAAATATCATTACCAAGGGAAATAATCTTTTCTGGAATTGCATTCCCACGTTCGGTTCACGGAAAAAATTATTATCATGAATAATTTTTTCCAAATAGTAGCATTTTTTGGTTAAAATGATGGGAATATCATTACCTCCAAATTCTTAGGCATTAAACAATTTCCACCACTTTTGACAATAATACCCCTAAACTAATGACCTCTTTTTATAATGACCCTTCTCGATTTTTTTGTACTTTAATCAAAATTATTAACATAATAATAATATACAAAAAATTAATTTAGTAAAATATTAATGAATTTAAATATTTAAAATTATTTCATATTTTTATTGGATGTGAAAACATGAGATATGAATTCATTAAGAACATTTAACAATCCATCATGTCAATTCGATAAATCATGTCTTTCTTACAAGAACTACCCAAATCATAACTATGAAATCATTAAGAGTGTAATACCCCAAATCATAGGTTAGTAATTCGAGTTGACCCGAAACCCTTACCTTGAGCCCCAAAGACTCATTAGACTAAATGGATATAAGTAAGAATTGGGCTTGGTTGGGCTCAAGTGTTAGGCTTTTAGGGGTAAATTTATTAAGAAGTAAGAGGGTGAGGACCTAAAGTGTGATTTTCCCTTTTTTAAATCTAAAGCTAACAACCTCTTATTAGCTATGAAACCAACGTGAATCACCCCATCCTTATTCACCAGACACTCTTTCTTTTCCTTTCTTCCAAGAGAAACAAGGGTTTAAGTTTTAAGGATTTCAATTTCTAGTTGGGTTTATCTAAGGTAAAAAAGTTATTCTATATTTCAAGAGCTTTGTTTCAAGCCCCATATATCAGTTTTTAAGCTTTGAACAAAAAATGGATTTTAGTGGGGGTTTATGAAATTTAAGGATTCTAATTGTGTTTGGGGTAAGATGAACTTTAAGAAATGTTTTTAGAAGTCTAATAGTCTCAAAATAAGTTAGTAATCTTTTCCTTATGCGTTAGTGAAAGAAGTTAGAGAAGGGTCCAAAGCAAGGTGAAAGGAAAAGTTAAGCTTGGGTAATTTGGGATAATTTTCAACTATCAAGACCTTAAGGTAACACCCTTCTAACCTTCCTATACCATTTTGTAAGCCTTACCATGCATTTATGTAACTTACATTAGCTTCTGAAGGATTAAGAACACGTTCATGGTAAATCTCATATTTATGTGTTTTTAAGTTATATGATGACTCTTTATGACCTTAATAAGTTCAAATAAGATAAGATATTAATAACGTTTGGGTACCTCCTTAGGGCCTTTAGGATGGTTTAGAAAGGTTGAAGATGCTCAAACAGGGCATTTTCAGGTGCAATATTGATAAATTATCTTCAATCATCATGTACTCCAATATTAAGATTATCTCTTTATCTTACAAGCTCGCGTATTCTCTTATCATTATAGATTTAGTTTTAGATCATTCATATGGTATCTTATGAGTCACATAAAAACACAAATAATAAAGAATTTCCTTCTTTAAGGATTTTCAACAAGATAGATTCCTAAAACACTTGACCTCTTATTAGGCTAAATCAAGTGCTTTTATCTCAAATTTCATGGTATAGCTACTAAAACAAATTTACTTTTATAAACTTTCGCAGAAGTTGTTCTACTCCAAATGAACACACACCGGTTAAAAAATTTATCATTGTATTATCAGTTATTCAATCATGATATCCTTTTAGAATTGTAGGATAATTTTCGATAAATTGTAACCACCAATACATTGTAAGCTTTAAATGTTTAAGACTTATTTCAATATTGAATACTTGTATTTATGTTATGGATATCACGTCAAAAATAAAAAGATTCTAAAAGATTAATTATTTTAACATTCACGCAAAGAGAAATATCGTGTACTCTTTGTTGGGAAATAAACGAGTAAGCAAGTAATTTCCCTATAACCAAATTTGTGAGAATGCGAAATAAAAGCGGAAAAATAATACCCAAAATTGATAACGGAGTTCAGCCAATTGTGCTTACGTCTTCGGACTGTTGCATATCCTTTACTAAGAAAGAAAATTTACAGGTGTTTACAAAACACTCACTACTCACAAGAAACTCTGTAATATTGGGAGAAAAAAATGGTTTTGGGATGATTTTGAAGCTAAATGGGATAGAGTATTTATAGTTGAAGATTAAGGACTAATCTTATAAATACCCTAAATTGCAATGACTAAATGCAATTATGCCATTTACCATTTTTCAACAAAAAATAAATGCACCGTTCGATGCCCCTATTTTTGCCCCACCTTTTTGATCCATTTTATTCGGTGCATTTAAAGCCACCAAAAAATTTGCTTTAGTTTCAACAATTGTTGGCGCCACCATTGACTTTAACAATCTCCCACTTGAAGACTGATTTTAATCTGTCTTCACACATTGATCAATGCAACATCATTTCTGGTCTTATTACTCTAGCATGCCAACTGAAGCTGAACACAACTTCAGTTTGTTCGTAGTCAACGTCTTTGTCAACATGTCTGCTGGATTTTGAGCTCCACTAATCTTTTCAAGTTTCAAAATCCCATCTTCCAGAAGAGACCGGATAAAGTGATATCGTAATTGTATGTGCTTCGTCCTGGAATGAAAAGATGGATTATTTGCTAAATGGATAGCACTTTGACTGCCGCAATACAAGACATTGTTTTCTTGTTTCTTGCTTAACTCTTCCAAGAAACTTTGAAGCCAAACTATCTCCTTACTGGCTTCCGTAACAACGACATATTCTGCTTCAGTTGTGGAGATAACAACTATCTTTTGTAGTTGAGAAACCCAACTCACTGTGATTTCTCCTAGAGTATAGACATATCATCTATTGTTCCTTCTAATGTCAACATTTCTGACTAAGTCAGTATCTACATAGCCTGTCAGTATTGTATCTTCACCTTTGAAACAAAGTGCATTGTTTGTAGTACCCCGCAGATATCTAAGAATCCATTTGACAACTTCCCATTGTACCTGCTAACAGCTCCACTACTTGAGCAATATCTGGTTTGGTACAAACCATGACATACATCAGACTTCCAATTACTGAGGCATACGGTACCTTCACCATGTGTGCACGTTCTTCCTCCGTCTTTGGTGACTGTTCTTTGGAGAGACTGAAATGAACACCTAAAGGTGTACTTACTGATTTAGCATCTTGCATGTTGAACCTGGAGAGTACTTTGTTGATGTACTCAGCCTGTGATAATATCAAAGTCCCCGACTTTGTGTCTCTCTTAATCCTCATCCTAAGAATCTGCTTTGCAGCGCCCAGATCCTTCATAGCAAACTACTTCGATAATTTTTGCTTTAATTTTATAATCTCTTGCATGTCTGAGCCTACAACGAGCATGTCATCAACGTACAATAATAAAATAATGAAGTTGTTGTCTAACCTCTTGATGTAGCAACAATGATCTGCTTGGTATCTGGTAAAACCATTGCTACTCATGAAACTATCAAACTTCTTGTACCATTGTCTAGGAGCTTGTTTTAAACCATACAAGCTCTTCTTCAACCTGCATACCATGTTTTTCTTGCTTGCCTCTATGAAGCCTTCTGGCTGCCTCATATAGATTTCTTCCTCCAAATCACCATAAAGGAAAGTTGTCTTTACATCTAACTGTTCAAGATGTAAATTCTCTGCAATTACAATTTTCAACACCAGTCTGATTGTAGACAATTTTACGACTGGAGAGAAAATTTCATTGTAGTCAATACCTTCTTTTTGTTGAAAGCCTTTGACAACCAATCTTGCTTTGTAGCGTTTGCTCCCATCGTGCTCTTATTTGATCTTGTAAATCCACTTGTTGTAGAGTGCTTTCTTGCCTGGTGGTAATTCAGCTAATTCCCACGTCTGATTTGACATAAGCGAGTTCATCTCATCTTTCATGGAAGACTCCCACTTGACTGAATCTTTCACCTGTATTGCTTCATCATAGCACTCTGGTTCACCATTGTCAGTCAGCAACAAGTAGTGCAAGGAAGGCGAATAACGCTGGGTTGGTTTAGGAATTCTGGAGGAGCGTCTTAATTCCGGTGTGCCTGCTTCTTCTTGAACTGCTTCAGGACTGATTTGAACATCATTTCCAGAAA